AAATATCCAAGCAATGACCGAAAGTTGGCTCGCCTGCACAGACATCATACCAGGTCCTCCCCATCAGTGTTGGTGCGGTGTTGTATCTGGTGGTGTCTCAGACTGTCGTGTCACGTCTCTGGACTGCTTGGCTGTCTTGCCTTGCCACATTAAAAATCGGTGGCTGTGAGCAGCAGTGTGGTGACTTACTCCTTGGTCCATTATGCCTTGGTTATCCGTTCTGTGTCTTACGATCTTAATTTTCACCACGGTTCATATTGGTAATCAACTTTCATGCTAAGAAGGTGGTTTAGTGTTTGTGCAATAGTCATAGTTACTTTAAGTGTATGACATTCTGTCATAAATAATCATTTAATCAGTATGACATCAGAAATATTAGACAAATATCTGAAGTCCATATGCTGTATTTTTCTTAAAATTGCAACTATTGCAAGATGTACACAATCCTGACGGATCCAGAGATATCCAGTCTTGTGATTAAAATTAATTATAAAATGCATTTCCTGCTTAGAATCGGTTCTCACTCCTTAAAAATTGGCGCTCTTGCTTATACATTGGAGTTGCAGTTTATCACATACCAAAAAAATATAATCTGACGTTGTCCTTACTTAAACTTGCAATGGTTGAAACAAATCTTCTTTACTCTTTTGTTAATCCTTTCTCAGATCAGATGCAGTGTGTGTCTGTTTTTATTTATTTTTTCCCCAAGAGATCATAGATTGCAATGGCTTGAGAGGATGGTAAGAATAGGTAAAATGCATTCAGTCTTCTCTAGCATTGCCTAGAAACAACCGTGGTGGACATTTTGTAGTCATGTGCCTTTTCTCAGTTTTGATCAAGTAGTGAGCAGTCTCCACACTGTGGCTCAGGTGTGTTTTAGTATAAGCCTTGTACCTTTTGTGCCGTGGGCATTGATGTACTGTATAGAGAACATAGAGCTGCATAATGCGATGAAAGCTAGATCTTATAGAGTGTCTCTGTCCTGGGATGCATCTGGTATTTTTCACAAGAAAATGTGAAGCTTTCTTTGTTACTTCCTTAATGTGCCAAAATGCCCACTTTATAGAAAAAAGCCAGATTTCTTTTGTATACCTGATCAACGCGATCATTTATTAAGCTAATCAATTAGTAAGTATTTATTCATCTAGCAAAAACTTTTAGCCTAATTGAATTATCCTGCCTTGTTTTACTAAGTTTATGCAGTGAAAATGAAGACATAACGTGGATTCGTGTTTTTTTTAATGCTTTTTACCTTTCTTAAAATAAGGGGTATATATGAAACCACAGCATGTTAGTAGCTCTGTCTACATAAAATATTTAGTATCCTGTAGATTGTATCAGCCTTTTTGGTTCTGAGTTTTTTTTTTATCCAGTTGCTGTGGATATTGACAGCAGGATTTGTTGTGTATGTAGGCCAGCATTGTATTAGGATTACGTAAGTAGGGTAGATGAATTCTGGAAATGGATGAAATTGCCGTGTTGTGGGCGAATCCTGCAACCAGACGATTATTGCAAATATGAAGACCATGCAAGCACTGCAGAGAAAATGGGCAAACACCGTGAAAACCCTCAGGATTCTCAGAGGTTATGTGAGTTATTTTTAGTCAGGGGCTTTAATCTGTTTTCAACTCTGGCTAATTAGATACGAAAGAAGTAGTGCAGGAGAATGTGTCTTGATTTCTTCTCCTGTAAGTGTTGTTCAACTTTTCCAAGGTTTCGACAGTGGAAAGGTGGTTCAGAGTGTTCCAAGATGTGGAAAACTACGCAAGAACTGAGAAGCAGTTTTATTTTATTGTATGCAAGGAGTACAGACGCATCTAGCCTGCTACATCTGGTGGGAACTCAAACATCCTGGGATACAATCTCAGCCAAATGGAAGTTTTTCCTCTTGTTTCTGTCTTTATTGAATTCATTTTTTATTTGCACAGGTTTGGCATTTATTGACAATGCTTTGTTTAAATGTTTTGCTCTGTGTTTTCTAAACTGAATCCTATAGAGCAGTAGAAAACAGGATTGTTTACAGTACCAGCACTTTGAAGTGGCGAATTTAACAACTCGTCCTTTTTTTGTGTGGAAAACTACAAGTCATATTTTCTTCCTTGTGTTTTAGAAATGATAGTGAATTCATGCACCTAAAACAAGTCTTTAAAAAGGCAAATGCTTCCTAGGTTCACAAGAGTTTGGAATTCAGTTATTAAAACTTTTTTTGTTAATTTTCTAAGTTGTTTACCAGTGCTACATATTGCTCTAACTGGTGTAGCTCATCAGCATTTTAGTAAATTTGTTTCTTGTAAGTTCCCTTATCTGTTTACGGTATTTGGGATTGTTTTTCCCTACTTGGCTTAATACTAAAAGAGTTGGCATGACTGAAATGTGCATATCATTGAAGCCCACATTGGGCAACAAGTAATATTTACTATTGTGTATTTCCATAACGTAATTGTGATGGCTGTAAACTGTACCAGTCTTATTGTTTGGGGATTGTGAGTGGGCAAATGCATTGACTTCAGGCTGCCTCGGACTTTGTAGGCTTCTGCTGTGGTTCAGAGACCTTGTTGTTTTCGTCCGCTAGCCATTCATTGTGCCCCAGAGGGCTGCCATTTGTTCCTAATGGAAATTGAACACTGAGGCAGATTAATTTTTTTAATTATTATTTTAATTAAAATGAGCCTCTGGCATCAGAAACAGAAAATGAGATTTAATCGGAGCTGGAGAATCTGAGCTAATCACGGAGACTTGTGGGGACCTTTCACTTTCAGCGTGGTTTTGTTTTGGAAGGTGATAAGAGTCTAAGGTTTGGGGGTGGAAAGATATTCTTCACTCATTGCCGTGTTTTAAGTGTGATTTGAGATACCTAGGAAACATGAGTTTAATGTGTTATTGCCTGCTGTGTGTTTTTTTCCCATTTTCTGTGGTTGCAAATGATTTGGATTTGCTCTTCTTCCTCCTGGTACCACCAAATTACTACTTAATTTGTTTGAGCACATGCTTTTGCTGAAGGTAATGTAGTAAAGGATTTTGTTAACTTCAGGAGCTTTGCTTGTAGCAGAGTCGCAAATTAAAAGCTCTGAAAAGCATATCCAGACTTGCTGGAATGCTATGATTCTCTGCATGGCTCCTGCTGTTTGTGTTGTTGAAATACCTTTGCTCCTGTAGGTCTGGTAAGTGCTGTCCAGTAACCAGTAAAGTTGCTTGACATGCCTGGGGTGTGACCAGCTGCCACTCCTGCCTGATCTCCCCACAGGCAGCACAGTGTGCCAATGAAATATTGGAGGGTTGATTGACCTCACTGCTCCTCTGTGGCTCCTGCTCACCACGCTCCCAGGATAGCCATGCCTTGTGGTAGACCCCCGTCCTCTGCAAGACCTCCGAAACGTCCTTGAATTCCATTTGTATCGAGTGTGAGAAGTAGTTCACTTGCTCATTTAATTGGAGGTGTCTTGCCTGCCATTACTGCTTCTACCTGTATTTCTGCAGGAAATTGTGAAAAAATAGAGAGGATTGGAATGTAAGTTTACACCTTAGGAATAAAGATTTTGTGTTGAAGAATGTGCATTCACAAACCCGCCTCACTTGTGTAGGTCTGTATGTTTAAGCATAACCTTGACATAGCTGTAATTTAACTTTTATTTTTCTTTGCTTTATTTGGTTTTCATATTTTAGGACACTGCAAAACTAGAAGCAGCTAGACTTGACTAATGATCTTAGAAAATAGTTTGATGAATCTTGTAATTACTCAAAGGAAAACTGGGGCATTTTCCCCAGAAATACGTATGTTTTACACCTTTACGGATTGATTATATTGAGCTAAAACCCAGAGGTTAAGGCATGCCATTCATTTAGTCATGTTCTTATTTTTTTAGTGAAGTGTTTTTCCTAACGCGTGTCGATCTACTGTACACACTTGTTGAGAATATAAATAAGACTTTACCAGAGGTGATTGTTGGATCTGTGCATTACAGCAAGGATTCAGATACCATCTTTATTGTTCTTAAATGTAAAGGCCCAGGCTTTCCTGCCTTTTTCATAAAGAGGACAGTCTCTCTTGATTCTAGAGAGGACTCCATACTGAGCGATTGTTTTTTTTCTTGACACCAGCCCTGCTGTGTCCGCATATCAAGCTCAGTGTGCTGTTTTCATCATGTTAAAACCTTGGTTGGTCAAAAGTATTTCCTCTGAAGAAGTATCTTAAAGTTCTGGTTGTTTGGATGAAACAATTTTGTTTTATTGTTCCTGTTGTTGTCTTTGCTAATTGCCATCTTCTAATGGTTTTTAATCTTATTACTCAGCAAAGCAACATAAGCAGTCTTAGACTGAGAACACAAAGTAATCTGGATAACTTGTTTTGTCTAAATCATTAGTATACTTCAGTACAAATGCTTTTTTAAATTTTATACATTAGTTTTCTCTCTGCTTTAAGTGAAGTGACACAGGTTGTTACACACTGTTACAAGAAAACGTCAAGATAGAGAGTCACTACATGTTGATGTTGATGAGACTCACTTGATGATTAGCTGTGTGTCATAAATAGAAAGTACAGCAGTTTATTCCTTGTTTTGTGTCTTGATTAAAAAAAATCCAGTTTTAAAATAGTACCAAACATTAACATTTAGTAAGTCATCTATATTGTAAGACCTGTCTGTGTAAATATCTTAGTTTAGGTTCGTACTGATCTGTGTGAGTATGTAAAAGTAGAACTTCTTGTTCTGCTGTTTAAAGAAAACGCCAAGCTATACATCTAATTTTTCTAGAACAATATTTCATTTGTACTTCCAAAGACTGGCTTTTCCTCCAAACAGATACACTGCTGCCATTTTATTCCCAAAACAGAGTAAACTAAACATACAATTACTTTAAAGTTTTTTTTAAAGCTCATCTTTTGATTTAAAACCAATATGAATTTAAATATTCTAAGAACAGTAGTTACTTGTTTGTACATGTAGCAGGTACCCTGTCTAGACTGATTTACTAACATTTTCCTTTTTTCCCTTTTTTTACAGACCCCAGGAATGGAGGAAACAATATGGGAACAGTACACTGTACCAATACAGCGGGTAAATGTTCCTGTTTAACTGTGTGTATTACTTTATGGAGTAATGCTACAATCGCAAAGGATCGTCTTTTTTCCATTGATCCTAATCGAATCCATGAGCTTTGCTTTGCACTGTTTTTTAGTATTTCGTTATGCTTCACAAGGATGTCTGTAGACAGAGGAGTGCTCTTAAGCGTAGATAATGTAGTTGTCTGTTTTTCAGCCATCTGGATGTCAGGACTTCAACAACAGCAAGTCTGAGAGATGTAATTGTTTTAGTGCAGATAGAGAAAAGATCATGCTTGCCCAAATTATTCCCATAATCCCAGTGACGAGACAGTCGGGCGATCCTTCCTGCCTGAAAGGAAGTGGCCGAGGTAGCTGCTGGTGCCCACTGTGCTGGTAGCTGCCAGTTCTGTTTAAGCTCACGCAGTCAGGCTCACCACTGGCCTCCCTTCCTTCCGGTGGTGTCATGGAGAGCTGCTTCACGAGGCAGCAGAGAAGCAGGGGGACAGCCTGCATCAGGCTGCGTGCTGCTGTGTGCACCAAAAAAAATAAATCGCACTTGGTTTACTAGGGCACCTGAAATAGGCATTTGCTTGTTTCATACCACAATAAAGGCTTTAATCATTCCTGTCTGTGATGCGTGTTACAAATGCGGATTTATTCACAGGCAAAGAAAACGGTTGGTAGCTAATTATTGATTTATAAGCTTACTCTTATGTGTAGAGCATTCAAAACAAGACCATGGCCAATCAAATGTAGTTGGCATTTCACATACGGGTATTGGACAAAAAAATGAAAACACCTGGGTAAATGAGGGAGGAGACCAATTATGTTGAAAGCAAAGGTTTCCACACACGTTATTTAATTGGCTACCTTCCCAGTATGTTTAGTCATGTACAGTATAAAAATCATGGACAAGCCTAGTTGTCTTTAATCATGTCCAGTATAGTTGCAAGAGGAGACCTCAGTGACTTCAAAAGTTGGGGCACATTTGGCAGGAGCTTCAGTGACCAGGATGGCTCAATTGATACTTCACGGGCAAGAATGCCTAAGGTGATGTTCCCACCTGCAAAATTGTAGACTCTGTGACCCAACACACACAGGCTGGAGTGGCCTAATACCCTATTAATTGACTTAACATTGGTGTTTTCATTTTGCTTAGTGTATATTTTATGGTACTCTGTAGTTTTGTTCAGAAACACAAGAGTACTTTCAGTAAAGAACCCCATCAAGTTGTCCTGGTGAAGCCTAAACGTTGTGGAATCAGCCCGATATTGCATAACGTATGTTTCCCATATTGGAGCACTTTTTTAAAATAATAATCTGTTATTAGACATTGTAGTGTTTAACAGAAGTCCTAAAAAACATTTTCACAGCATGAAAGAGCTTCTTAAGAGTTGTTGACAAAACCTTAATAACTGTATTCAGATAAATATCGGAATTCAGGATGACATCGAGACTGGTGCCAGAAGAAATGTAGAGCACCACAAAAGCAGAACAAATTGCAGGATGACTGCGGTTGGCTCCTGGGATTTAGGGCCTGTTGTAATGATGGCTCTTTCATATGTATACCTTATCTGGGAGTTATAATCGCTGCATAATTCACTGCCCTGGCTGCAGTACATTATAGTTAATCGCAAACTGGGTCGCTAGTATAGCTTGGAAGGATCAGTTCCATATGGCTTACTGTATGTAAGGAGAAAAGTTCCAGAGAACTAAACACGGAGCAGCACATTTGAGCTGATCTGCAAAGGTGCTTTGATTTTTAAAAGGCTCAGTTCAGATTTCTTCCCATGAGTTCAGACTGCCATAGTGCTGTCGAGTAATGGGTAGCAGGCAAATGGAAAAGAGACACATGATCTGGGAGGCAAAGCTCTTTTTTTACTAAGACCAGAGAAGCCATTTCCTCTAACTTTTTCTAGAGTTTTGCAGCGAGCTGCCTTACATGACCCTTTCCAGAGATAAAATTCTAGGCTAATACAGTACCATTTGCTACATTATTTTGTGAGAATCCTGTCATGAATTCATTTTCTGTGGGTACAATTTGAGTTCGATTGTAGGCTGTTGCTACAAGAACTTGATAACTAGGTTTATGTTACTGGGGCGAAGGTGTTCTACAAGAACAGCACCTGTTAAGATAGTCAGTGGGAACCAACATCTGATTCTTGTTAAATGTAAGCTTGTAAACAATATTTTCAACAGTAGAGGAGGCAAAGAGGAAAAATGTACTGCAAAAAATGTTAAAATCACGAACCCTTAGTTTCTGTCGATTAACTGTTGTTCTGTCATGAGGAGAGAGTGGTGAGAAACGAATGTCGTTTGTTCTCTCTATCATTAAGGACTCCAAGATGGGTTTTGGGATCGCGGTGTCTGGGGGAAGGGACAACCCTAATGCGGAGAGTGGCGAGACATCCATCATAGTTTCAGATGTGCTCCAGGGTGGCCCCGCTGATGGCCTGCTCTTGTATGTACTGACTTATTTATTGTTCCTTTCATTCATCTTCTCCTTCCAATTAACGGGAATTGGCAAATCTTGTCTTTTTATATGCTGGAAGGCATTCAAAACACAGCATAATGCTATTGGTTACAGTACTTGTTCATTGTACTTTCAATGCCTGTCAGTATATGTAGCCCCTGCGTGACGATAAGAGAAAGCTGTTTTTAAAACATTAGTATTTAATTACTAACAAAGTGTATTTTCCATATTCAAGTACATAACTTACTTTAAAAGTAATCAAGTTACTAAAACGTATACTGAAAGCAAATTCTCATCATACTATTTTTTTACTTGGAAGTTTTATCGGGTTAAAAAAAACCTTTTGGAGATGAGTGTCAAGTGAATCTTTAATATTTTTATTTTCTTGCAGTGAAAATGACCGGGTAATTCAGGTCAATACAATACCCATGGAAAATGTGCCTCATTCATTTGCAGTACAACAGCTCAGAAAGTGTGGGAAAGTGGCAAAGATTGTAAGTATTACATATTTAAATTAAATGGCTGTGTTTTCTGTTTGACTTATTGTCGAGCCTTTTTTAAGTCTTTTATATACTCAGCTTTACAATGTGCTCGAGATGGGGTTTGAAAGGGAATTGGGACTATAGAGAACAAAGAACAGAAGGCATCACAGTTAAATTCGTATATTAAACAGCAGCACATTTTTTAAAGAATATAACTAAGGTGGAAATACCTATACTTCAAATATACTGATTTTAATTTGAGAATCATGCCACTCCAAATCAAGTCGTTTAGCAATCAAATATGGTAGCTAAAAGCTTGAGTACTGCTTGCTAAAAAAGGAAGTTCTACTGGTCAGTATTGCTGGGGCTGACATAACATGGGGAAAAGAGCTAACCACCAAAATAACTGAGTGAGTGACAAACTGCATTGGATCAGCCTTGTTTAAAAACCACGAGAGCAGAACGTAGACTTAGAAATAATCTCTAAATCTACATTGCAGGTAGATTTGAATGGCGATGTGTTTAGCATAAAGTCACAAGCTTTTGTGTTTTTTGGTTCTCTGCAGACCGTGAAGAGACCCCGGAAAGTCCCAATACAGATCACAAAGCGCGCCCCGACTCCCGAGGTCGAGGACCGGGTGTTCCACGCGGGAGATTACGACGACGACTATGACCGCAGGAGCGTACACAGCGCGCGCAGCGGGCGCATGGACCCTGGCTGGCACGGGGGGAACGGGGGCCCGGGCTACCCCAGGGATCACAGCCTGGAGCACGAGCAGGCCGGCTACAGGGAGCCGGAGTACCGCGGGCGCGAGCGGGACCGCGACTACGGCCGAGAGCGCAGCAGGGGCAGGAGCGTCGAGCGGGACCTGAGCCCCGAACGCGATTACCGGCGAGACGGCAGCCGCGGCCGCGCCCTGGACAGGGACGGGAGCCCCGAGAGGGCGAACCGGAGGGAGCGCAGCCGCGGCCGCAGCCTGGACCGGGACCTGAGCCCCCCGCGCAGCTACAGCAGGGACCCCAGCTACGAAAGGGGCTACGACTACCGGGCCCCACTGAAGCAGGACCCGCGGGCAGACGAGAGGATGGTGAGGACCCGCAGCCGAGACCGCCTAGAGGACCGCAGCCCTTCCCCGGTGCTGCCCCGAGTCCGAGACCGAGAGCCGCTGGAGAAACCTGTCAGCGTCCTCTTGGTGAAGAACAAACCCAATGAAGGTAAAGAGCCAAGATCCTGAGGTGCCATCATTTCTCATTTCAAGCTGTCAGGTGTCTGGAATGATAGGTATTTATGCAGTAGGTACTCTTACATACCTTAACTACTGCATTTTTTAGTTGAGTTGATTTTAGCAGGTGTGAGCCTGGTCAGTACCTGGATGGGAAACTCCTGGGGAAAAAGTAAGGTTGCTGCTGAGGTGTTAGTGAGGCCAGTAGGTGGCGCTCACCCTGCAGTCTGTGTGGGTCCTAATGCCCCAGTATAGTGACGAGGCGCTGTCCTTTGGATGACGCATAAAATTGAGGTTCTGACTCTCTGTGACCATTAAAAATCAGGGGCATTTCTCGAAAAGAGTAGGACCCTGGTGTCCTGGCCAAATTTCCCATTGGCCTTTACCAATCATGGACTCTTAATAATCCCCATCTATGGTTTGGCTTCATCACCCTGTTGTCCTCTGTAAAGGAGGAGAACGTTATAATTGCCGTCGCATTACCTTTACCCCATTACACATAAAGTGCTTTGAGTGGAGTATCCAGGAAAGAGGTATATAAGTGTAAGGAATTATTATTAAATGTTACCGAGAACCTTAACATAACTGGTTGTATAGACAAACATATTTCATAAAACTTATTTTTCACTGGAAAAGCATAACCTTCTAATAGCATTTACACTTTTTAAAAAATATTTCTTTTGGAAGAGGAACAGGTTGGACTTCATTCAATTCATGACACATTTTTCTTAGCAATGGATATATACCATTTTACAAGGAAACCATCATCTATATGGAAATCCAGTGATATTTGTAATTGTATTAGAGATTTTGTACTTCCATGCCGAACACAGTTTTCCATTAAGAAATGTAGAAACTTGATTCTTTTTAGAACGGCCGAAAATGGTCTTGAGAAAACTGGGGGATAGGGGTGGCTAGATTTATAGAGGAATATGTTAAGGAAAGAACAACACCCTGTTAAATAAATCATATTGGGGATTATTTTATTATTTTAAAATAAAGGAATGAAAGAAAATGTACAAAATGTACAGACGAGGTGGTGGCCCCCATCTTTTGGTGGCAGTTGCTTATTGCTGTATGGATCTCATTCAGCTTTTCCTCAGAAGGATTCTGGGGAATCTGCTTTAACCAAGTTGGCAGGCAGCTCACTCCACCACCCTTTGTGTAAAGATGTGATCCCTGATTTCGGTCTGAAACGCACATCCTCTTAGTTGCTACTAGAAAGCTTGGGTGCTTATTTCACTGTTGTACATGAAATAGTTCCTTGGGTTGATATCAGTATCAATGCCTATACGATTTTATATACTTGCATAAAGCACTCTTGTAAATAAATAAAGATTTAAGGCATGTCATGTCTCCTTATTGAGAAATAGCTTCTATAATTTAAACTGCATGTGATATTATAAAATACAGATGATTTTTAAGTCTTCTGTCATTGGCTTCAGTTTATTTTGCTGTGCAGGCACTAGTGGTATTAGGATCTAGCACTTTATTTGGTTTATTTATGACGCCCTTGCCATTCATTAATCTCAGCCGAGAGACTTCAACATTTTAATACTCGCTACCCTGCATTAAAAGTTTTAGGTATCTACATTACTCCATACATCAGCAGTGCAAGAACTAATTAATTTTTGATGTTTTTTTTAAATAAAATTAATAATATAAGGGAAACAAGATGAATGCCTGTCTTCATATGCCTAGCAGAGAGATTAAGTTACTGGCTCTCCTTTGTCTGGGAGGATAACAAGGGAAACGGCCATAAAACAATAAAAAAGGATATAAACTAGAGGAGACCATTTAGTCCATCTAAGTTATTGTTTGCTTAGTAGTTAACTGATCTTAGAGCGTCTTATATAAGGATTTTATTGAAGGTCTTCAGCAGCAGAGTTTGTGGTACTGTAGATTGTTCCAAGCTCTCACACCACTCTGTGAAATATTAAAAGACGTGAAGAAGTGACTCCCTTTTTGAGAGTTAACTGTACTGATCCATTCTCATCTAGTATTTTAATTGTTTGATTTGTTAACCATTTGAGCCACCAGGCTTTTTAATCATGGGTTGATTCTGTGCTGTTCCTCATTTGTTTGAATACCAAACCTTTTTTTGGGACTCTTATCGGTCTAGTTTCAAAATTATCTTCGAAGTATATATTCCGATCGCAGTTCAGAACGTTTTGAAATGTACTGAAATTCTATCATAACATCCGCTTTCTCTGGGGTTTTCTGCCAGACTCATGTTGTCTCTTTGTTTCATAGAATATGGTCTTCGGCTGGGAAGTCAAATATTCATCAAAGAAATGACAAGCACAGGTCTTGCAGCCAAAGACGGCAACCTGCAAGAAGGCGATATCATTCTGAAGGTAAATTGCTTTAGGCAGAATTTCATGGCTCCAGTGTGTCCTCATTTAGTTCTTATCAGTGAACATAATTACCACATTTCAATTAGAAGCCAACACCCCAAAGCCTTTTATGCTCAAGGGAACAGTGCAGTGGTGTTTCCTGGCGTATGGTGTGTTTGTGTTTTTCAGGAAACAAGGAAATCCTGAAGAACAGCAAGTATGTTCTGTTCTCAGCTCAGACCAAACTGAAGAGACTTCTTGTGTGATTATCTAAGATGTTCTCTTCTGTAAAGTTGGTGCTTTTTTCTAACAGCCTGCTGAGCATAAAAGGCCACAGACACGGAACAAAACTTTACAAGAGTTTTAGGATAGGTTCTTTGGTAATCTGGAATAGTTTGAAAGATAATGGTGTGCTTATTTTGACTTTTTCTGTGTCCACTTTTTAGAAGACCCTAAGACATATATTGTTTTCCACACACAATGCTGCTGAGAACAGCACTAATAAAACTTGCAGTGCTTTTTCTCCAAAATCAGTTTATATTTTTTGTCAATTGAAATTATAGCTATTGGGAACTGAACCCAGATCAATAACAAATTCGATGATGATGTAGTCCAGTGAGTTCATTTAAAAAAAGATTGTTTATGGTTTGTTTAGCAGTTGGCTTTATTTTAATACCCTAATATGTGTTGAAGATGAAAGGAAACAAACTCTTCCTGGAGCTGAAAGTTTCTTTTTGATCCCTCTTCGAGCCTCAACAGTTTTTTCTTCAGGTGCTGCTGTGCAGTAAGAGCAGACTCTTCTGAGCTCTTCTAATTTTTTACATAATTTCCATTTCAAATGATCTGCTTTAATTGAGCAATTCAATAATTGTTTTGAAAGCAATGTAACTAGTAAACCCTTCTATTAAGAGCGAAACTCAAGATACTTTAACTCGCATGATCTCTGAAATGTCATGGAGTCCTGCTGGTACAGCATGTGTCACTCAGCATTTCCTTTATTTATTTATAGAGAAAAAAATTAAACTAGGTTTAATGTTGTGCCGCACCCTGACAAGTACATTTAAAGGCCTGAAATTGCTTGCTCTCCAGTTCTTTGTTGTTTTATGTGATGAAGTGATATGACCTCCAAAGAATTTAATAGACTTCCAAGATCAAATAATTAATATGGCATGGAAATCCTCCAGTTTGCTGTCAAGGCAAACCAAGTTAATTTTATTTTTTAGAAAAACAATCTTCAACTATCCCAAAAAAGTTGAAACCATCATTTAGTTTTTTTTTTCCCCCAAAAAATTATCCACTTGTTTGTGATCCGTGCTCGTTTTCCCCAAATCAGATCAATGGCACAGTAACGGAGAACCTCTCCCTGAATGATGCCAGGAAGCTGATAGAGAAATCTCGGGGAAAACTGCAACTCGTTGTCCAAAGAGACAACAGGCAGACTCTGATCAGGATTCCAGCCATGGTGGACAGTGACTCTGAACCTGACGGTGAGTAGCCAGAGGGAGCCTTGTGCTAGTGACATAGCTGTAAGCCAGAGGTGCCCAGTCCTGGTGACCCACAGCCCTGTTGACTTCAGTTCCAGCTGCACTCTTAACTCCTCCATTGTTTTATTATTATTATTATTATTATTATTATTATTATTATTATAATAATAATAATAAGACCTGTTTTTTCCCAGCTTTAAACATGTTGGAGCTTTAATCGTTGTATTTTGTAAGTGAGATCATATCCCAAACTTGTGTCTATAAACGAAATGAAAACATTCAATTAAAGCCACATCTTGGGTCAAATAAGGCTTCGGTTATCTAACTATGGTGGGGTGGAATGAAAAGCAGCAAGTGTGTGGGACACCGGAACCAGGATTGGGAACCACTGCTGTAAACCATGGTGTGTGCTCTTGGGTCCAAATGAGGGGCTCTTGCTATGCTATCCAGTGTAAGGGGTCACACTAGTTTTCAGTTTTTGAATTTCTGTCTCCAATCATTAAATTGCTTCACGCAAATGGATTTTTCGTAGCTTGACAGTCGACTGGACAGCAGTCTCTCAGAGCTGAAGGCAGCTACTCAACCAGAAAACCAGTGCTGCGCATTTGTATCACTTTGGCTTCATATCTATAGAAAAAGAGACTATTACATCTAAACGTGTCAACCTGTCAAATAGCTACAAAATTGAGCATTTTATGGATTTAGCAAGGCTACAATGTTCAGAAGCCACAGGAAAACTACAGGTTTCAAATGATGGGAATATATATTTCTAAGAAACATAGATTCTATAATAACAGCACAGCTAAACATGGTAAGTCATCACCAGAATTAAATTACATGTCATCTCAATAAGGATTTTATTGCAATAAAAAAGGCAGAATTTCAACAAAAATACATCCTATTTTCTGTTTCTTTTTTACAGATAATATGTCATACTTTTAGCTGAAGGACCCCGAGACACAGCATAACAGTTTGGTTGAAATAAATCTGTTAAATGACCATGCATCAACAGAGCTGTAAAGCTGTCAAGTTTTGCTCTTCTTTTACTAATTCTTAATCTTCTATGAAATCAATAAAACAATGTTTTAAGTTGGATGTATTTTGTTTTGTGTGCTTTTTTAAGGAGCTAAAATATTATGGAATAAATTGATGTTTTTAAATTTGAAGAGATTAATATTTTGTCTTTTAGTTAAATGATCTGAATAAATTCACTGTATTGTACACAATTACATTTAATGTTGGTGCAATCAACAGTGATGTTAAGGCAAAAGTTATATTTTTGCATTTATTGCTTTATAGGGAGTGCAATACAGTGGATAAAAACAAGGTAGAATTTTAGCAATATCTTGGTGGATAACGTAACCAATTGATGTTTTTTATCCCCATACTTTTCTCTTATTACTCTCTGAAACCTAAATTTGGTTAGTATGTAAATTGAACTGGGATGATACCTTGGTTTTCCATTTCTTTAATTTCCTAAAACATTAAGTAAAAATATTTAGTTTCTTTGTATGGGAAGGTGTCCAGGCATTAAGCATTGAATTTAATTAAAATAGTATTTTCATTGATGTCAGAACGTTGTTTCAAAGTTGCTTTTTTTCCCCCTCCCTTTTTGATCAAAAACTAATGTAGTTTGGCAAGTACTCCTTATGTTTTGTAGTTTAGGGCAACCATGTAAGAACAGAATCTGTTTTGAACTGGGTAAGCGTCTTCACCTCATTTTGCAAAATCGAAAATGGAAACCGAAATTCTGAGTTGACGTATTAATGGCTGATGGGGACAAAGTCTGAGGTAGGATTAGGCGGGGCCAGGCTCCCGAGCGGCCCAGCCAGTAGGGGGCGCCCGCTCGTGGGCGAGACGACCGTGACCGGGGTTCCCCAAGCAGCGCGCGCGACCGCCTGAATGCCTCCATGGGCAGGTGCTGGGATGAGTCGACTAGGGCTCTCACGCCCCCCTGGCGGGGTTCGTAGCTCATTCTCGGCAACGCCACCGACCATAACTGAGTTGGCCATTCATAGACAAAGGTTGCGAATGTGGCTCACGAAAAACAATTGGAGAAAAAAAAACAGCTGCCACTTCACCCGTGTGGTGTTCAGGGTGACCCGCCTGTTCATGGTGTGACAAGTGTTCTGGAATGTGGAATGGTGGAAGCATTACCCAAACATTTCCCTGTCCAGGACTTTCTGATAAAGGACTGTTCTGGTCCACCTTTTAATTGGTGTATATTTTCCATGCTGTGATGTTTTATGTCTGTGGGCGTTTCCCATGTCTTTATTTCTATGTGCTAGAATATTTTCACTTTCTGGGGATCTTGGTGTCCACCCGAAATCCCAGTGTGATTGTTCTTTTAAAAGATTTTTCCATGGTGCGGTGTCTCTGATAGAACAGGGAGCCAGTTCGTAAACTTTCACTGTGTCGTTCATCCGTGAGCACTTTTGTAAGAATTATAATAAATAAAGGAATTGCATTGAACAAAGTGAATTATTGGCACCCTAAACCAATACTTTAATATCTGCTTTGTCCTCATCATCCTGCTGTACACTGAATAATGCATGTGTGGCTCAGCTGCTTCCATTTACAACCTTTAAAGACCAATATCTCTAATACTATACATCCTTTTAAAATTTTGTAAGATTGGCTTCTGTTATGGAAATGTACAAAGGTACAGTTGTACATCAGCTGAAAAAGTCTCAAAACTCTTCTCATTGCCTGTGGGCAGCTTTCATTGGTCCTTAAGGGGCTAACATTTTTACTAATGAATCCGTAATTTCTTGTGTTTTATCTGCTGCAATGTACTGCTGGAGAGTCTTTTGTTAATGGGTTCTGTTCACTCTGCAGGAAATAAAATGCTTTTTATTCTCTGAACTGTTCTGGAAAACATTTGCCATTAGTTAGTATGATCATTTTTGTATGATTGTAATTATTTGAAATTTAAAAAAATAAACAGTTCAGGTCTATATATGGACCTTTTCAGTTTCAGGTGATGTTTCATTCATGTTTTCCCGGACATTTCTACTGCACATATTTCTAATCTTGCATCTGGGTCATGATGGATACTCATGTTTTAATCAGCTGCTTATTTTCAGCATTTTGATATTTGAAAAATATCTGCTATATTACTAAACCTGAAGTCTATGTTTCAGGAATATATTTGTTTGCCTCTTTGGGTACAGTGTTTTGGTGCTACTGTGTAAAGCTGTTATAAAATAGTAAGTCAACTACCTTGTTTTTAATGACTTCTTACTGTTCACTCTTTTTCAGATATCTCAGAAATTGAGTCCTATCGATCTTTCTCCCCTCAAGAAGACAGAAGATCACACCATTCTGATCTGTCCTCACATTCTTCCAATGAAAGACTGAGAGAGAAGCCCAGGTAGGTAACAAGCAGTCACTTTGTCTTGGAAAGCAACGTCTATGAAATTTACTTTGGAGAAAACGATTCTAAACCAATTTCAGTACAAGCAAATCAGTCCAGATAATTTATTTTCTTTATTTATATTAAAAAAAAGAAATAAACCTGCCGTCAGCCAGAAAAAAAATGTCATTTATGGGAATAGTCCAGACCAGTTTGCAGAACAAACAAAAACAAAACAAAGATGCTCAATGTAACTGAGGACTTCAAAGAAGCTTTCAATGAAAATAATAGTAATCTATTTTTTTTTTAATTGTAAAGATGTCTGTAGCTAAATTACTCTTAAAGTAAGTTTGCCTCATCAGCTTAAGAAACATAAATGTGTTCTGGGCATCGGCAACATTTTCAGTGTTTGCAAGTTCACCTGTTTTTTATAATATAAT